GGCTGGGGGGTGCGGAAGGGAAGGGATGGGGGCGGGGCTCTCACTTCCGCGGAAACTGGACGAGTAACGGGACCGCGAGTCCAGTCAGCAGGTCAAAGAGCATAAGTTTGTACATCTCTTTCCCCAGTCGGGTCTCCCAGCACTGAGCAATGAAGAAACCAGGCAGAAAAGCCTCAGGACCCAGGCACCTATGGGCCTAGGCTCGAGGCTCCGACCGCCAGCCCACGGCGTAGACGGCACCTTCCCGGTGGGTCCGCAGCCCTGTCTCCCAGAGCAGGACTTGCAGCGCCTCAAGGCTAGACCCCAGCTCTCCCTTTCCTTTAGGAGTCCCAGCGCCCCTCCACCCCCCTCCTTCCTACCGGAAAGTTTTCGTAGTCATAGCCACAGGCTTTGCACTGCTCATCCTCAGCTTTGCCCCCACAAGTGATCTGATCCCAGAGAGAGAAGAGCAAGAACATCAGGGAGGCCAGCCGGAGACACACCGTCCTGGCAAGGGCAAACGAGAGAGGGAGATCAGCGCCGAGGGGGCAGCCACCGCGTGCCTGGGCCTTCCTGCTGGACAGCACACAGCCCCCGCGGCACACAGGGGGTCACCGGCTCCATGGCAGCCTCTGCATCCGGGCCCACCTGGCACTGGGCCTCCCGCCCCTCAGACGTCGTATATGCCAAACCTGCGTCTTCTGACCAACCTCGCCAGCGTCCCCAGCCCACCCCAGAAGGCCGGAACCTTAGCAGGAGAAAAGCGATCTGGCGGCTCCTGGTGTAGCCCTCTAGCGGGGCAAGGAGCTTGAAGACAGGTGGCAGCACGAAGTTGACCCCGGAGATGAAGAAGGACGGGATGAACTCCACCCCCAGCTTGAGCAGCGGCGTCTCCGTGACGGTGGGTGCCTCCTGGGAGGGAAGAAGGGCCGGCCGAGAGATGATGCCGCCGGGTCCTGGAGGAGCCAGCTGAAGGTGCTCCCCAGCCCCTTGTACCTTGAGGCCCCAGAAGCCTCGGTCCCGGTCCCTCCCCGGCCTCCTCTGTAAGCGCCGAGTCAAGTTCATCCCTTCCACCCGTGGGAAAGTGGGTTTCGGGATGGCATCCCCTCACCCCCCCAGGGGCCTTCCGCACCTTTAGCTCGTCCTTGTACCCCACAGCCCAGTAGACTCCATAGAAGGCCGCCCCCAGAAGTGCGGCCACCAGCAGGTTGATCAGCACCCTCACTGCCCACACCCTGGCCTGCTGAGCCAGGCCCCGTGCCGTGGCCTCTTGCTGCAGCTTCGCTTCCTCCAGTTCCACCTGTGAGCAGAGATGTCTAGCTGGGCCCCATCTCCCCAGGCCCGGTGGCCCCGCATCCCGTCTTGACCTGAAGAGAAGCAACACTGCCCCTCTAAGGACTGCTGTACCCCTCCTGCTGACAGTTTAGACCTCCTGGCCCCTCTGCTCCTTGGCTGCCCGGCTCCCCGGCCTCACCCCTCCACTGTCCCGCTCAGCACTGCAGCCACACCACCGCGTGGCCCATCCAGCTCTAGAGCCTGGTGTGAATTCCTGGTCGACTTCAGCAAGTCCTTCCTGGCTAGCCTGTCTCTTTAGACCAAGGCGTTTTGGGGTTCACCCCCCTCCGGCAGCCTAGTTCTCCGCTTCCCCACCGGGCCCCGACCTTAGGCAAGCCTACCCTCGTCCATCCAGCGCACTCATTCCCTAAGGCCAGCTCCTTAGGAGAAAGCTGCACCGATTGCTTTAGGGCCCACTCTGTGGTAGGCCCGCCCCTCGTGGTAGGCCCCGCCCCTCGTGGTAGGCCCCGCCCCTAGTGGTAGGCCCCGCCCCTCGTGGTAGGCCCGCCCCTCGTGGTAGGCCCCGCCCCTCGTGGTAGGCCCGCTCCTCGTGGTAGTCCCGCCCCCTGTGGTAGGCCCCGCCCCTCGTGGTAGGCCCGCCCCTCGTGGTAGGCCCCGCCCCCTGTGGTAGGGCCCGCCCCTCGTGGTAGGCCCGCCCCCAGGCACACCTGCAGCTCATATTTGATGTTGCGGCGGCGCAGCTGCACATGCTCATCTTTGCAGAGGCCGAAGTCCCAGGCAGAGAACACCCGGTGGCTGTAGCTGGTCAGGGCCCCTGACTCAGCCAACAATGTCTGCTTCAGCCCCGACGCGGAGCTGAGAGAGAGGAGACGGGGGTGGCAGGAATCTGAGGAGTCACTGGGCCAAGGCCAACAGAAAGGTTCAGAGACATCCTGAGGAGGGCACACTGGACTTAGGGACGGAACTCCAGAGAGCAGGGCCAGGACCGATGGAGAGGGACAGACCCTGGGGAGAGGGAGGCTTCGAGGAGACGCTGAGACTCCAGCGGGACAGGCTCAGGGAACAGGAGACAAGACTCAGGAGGAGGAAAAGAGACTTAGGGAGGGGAGTAAAAGAAAGAGGGAGCCAGAGTCCAGGAGAGGGGGACCCCCGGGAAGGGACATAGTGGAGAGACCCAGGGAAATGTGAGTGCAGATCTCTCTACTGTATTCTCTTGGAGTCCATTGCCACTGCGGAAGCCAGGGAACCTTTTTAAGGTGAGATGGGTTTCAGGCCCTTGGTGGCACCAGGGGTTAAAGAGCAGCGCTATGTAGCTGTCGGCAGCCGCTGCAGCACGAGTTCGATCCCCGGCCAGGGAGGGACCCACAGGGCGCAGCAGACCTCTCCTGGCCCGCCCACTGCTCCCCTTGACGGTGTACGTCATCAGCCGGCCTGTCCTGCTCCCCACTCTGTCGCTGGTGAATCCTCCCACCGCCCCTGCACCTCTGGCCTGCACCCCAGTCTGTGTGCATCAAGAAACACATCTTTAAAAATGAGGCTCCGAGAGGGGGTCGAAGGGTGAAGCGCAAATCAGAAGGGGCCTCATGAATCATGGCGGAGGGTTAGGGTGCCTTGGCCGTGGCGCCCTAATGTGTGAGCCTGTACCCCTACGTCAAATACAATGCTGCAACCAGCCTTGGCTTAAGAAAAATTTTTTTAAAGAATAAATGTTGAGCCAGGCAAGCTGCTGCTGAAGCGCCCAGCAACTCCCACTAGCTCAGAGCGCAGTGAGGTTCTTTCTGCTCCCGTTCCATCCAGAGCAGCTCCCCAGGTGTCTGCCTGCCCAGGCTTCTCACCTCTGAACCTCTTTACTTGGCGTCACAGCCCACTGGCCCTCGGCCCTCTGCCTCGGTCTGCGTGGCCTGCGGCGCCCCCAGCAAAAATGCCGCTGTACCAAGTGCGTGTGCGCCTGTTTGCTGCCCGCCTAGAATGGTGCTGGGGGCCCAGCAGTGTCACAGACTTGCAGTTAAAAGATGGAGGCGGGCCCTCCCTGGTGGCGCAGCGGGTTAAAGCACAGCACTGAGAATCTGAAGCCACTTCCGTATGCGTTCGATTCCCGCCTGCCGCCTGCCCCGGAGGAGACCACATGGCGAGCCAGACCTCTCCTG